TATAAAGGTAGACTAACCAAGAGAAAAGGAAGGATGAGATAAATAAAACTATATGTGAAAGATGAGAGAACTGCTGACAGAAATGCAAAGGAGTTGAAGGTGCTACTGAAAACAAGTTTATGCTAACAAATTGGAAACCCAAAGGATATGGATAAATTCTTAGAGACATAAAACCTACCAAGACTGAACCATAAATTAATTAATTAATTGTTAATTAATTAATAAATTAATTAATTAATTAATAAAAAACAAACAAACAAAAAACCCTTGGGCTTATATTTAGGGCGTGTTTAGAATGTCAAATACTGGCAAACAGGGCCAAAACAGGAATAGCCAAAGAGCCAGACGTTTTGTTCTGTGCTTTCCCTGAGCTGGGGCTGGATTTGCCCATGGGGCAAGGGCAGTGTTGCCCTTAATGGGCAGCCTACTCTTTAGGATGCAGATGCTTTCAAGGAGTTACCTAGAAACTTGTTACTTGTCCTTGGGTCTGATGAACAAAATTTACCCACAGTCTACTCTGTGACACTGAGCTCAACTGTCCTCCTCATAGTCTCTCATGCACTTGCTGTTTCCAAGCTCCCAGTGGGAGGAAGTGAGGTGGGGCGGGAAGGTGGTCTCACATTCGCTCACTCACAATGAGCTGCCTGTGTGAACTCACTGTGTCTTGGCTGCTCTGCTGCCTCAGGTGGCCAGGCCTTGAGTGGTGGCCTAAGATGGGTGGCCTAAATATCTGGCCTATCTGTATGCCCTTTCTCCCTGTAATGGGGAACACAAAAGTGACTCTCTGGTCTTCTCTTTTATTTGTATTACTCATAATTCAATGCAAATCACTAGGAGCCTACGAGCAGGCTGAGAGGAGGAGGCAGGACTGCTGAAAGAGGATGGAGACTTGGACATTCCATCCCTGATCCATAAGGGAGAGGCACACACCATGATATTTGATACTTGAGCACATGAGAAGGGCCAGGCTGGCATTCTCTCAAAATATACCTGGAGAAAAGATGCAGGTGAGAGGCTGAAAAGCTGATTTTTCATTGTAGCACCACTAGGGAGAGCAAGAGAATCATGATGCCCAGCCATGCCAACATGAACTTTGGACTCTGAGCTCAGCTTTTATGTTAAAAACAAAAACAAACAAACAAAAAAACCTAGCATTCAGGAGAAAGCCTCTGAAAAGTATATTGAAGAAAATATCTTGGCATTTCTCTCCTGAATGCTCAAGAAAAAATGAGGTCCTACAAACCATTTTCTACAAGTATTTCCCTTGCAGCAAATTGCTCACATGTGACACCACTACTGGCACCTTCCTTTGAGGAGGACTGAGGGCGGCAAGCACACAACCCCTATTAGAAACTAAGGCTGCTCTAGAGCAGGAGACATTATACAAGAACTGGACTAATCAGGCCTTCAGTTTCACCAACAGAAGTGTGATTACTAAGTGAATGGGGGAGCAAACAATCTCTCTCCATGACTGTGCCAACATGGAGATGGGCTGTGGTGTGTATATTTCCAGAGCCAACACTTATGGGGCTCTCTGTGTGGAACAGACAGCTCCTGAAGCAAGATGCCCTACTTCTCACCAATATGTCCTTCTATGGTTAGGACTCGTGCTCCTGCAGGGCAGCCAGAGGCAGAGAGAGGCAGGAGGAGAGAGAAAATGAGAGAGAGATGGTGAGAAAGGGGAGGAAGAGACCGAGAATCCCAGGATGGAGAGAGACCTGTGAGCCATTTCTCACCTCCCCAGCTAGTGATGTAAGCCTCTTTTATTCCCTTCATCACTCTGCCTCATGCCCTCATGAAATTGGGTCTGTTTAACAGGACAAGACAGGGTGTTTATCGAAAGGGCTGAATTCTTCAGGTGAGGGCAGGGGGTTCATGAAAGAAATGTAAAAGCTCAGGAAAGCAAAAGGTAGAAAAAAGTAACGATCAATCTCTGTAATACTGAAACTATAGAAGTGACAGCAGGCTAAGGGAAGAGAAATTATGTAGAAATTGTTCTGACATATTTATTTGCAAACCCCTCTCAGTTTTACTCAAGCATGTAACTGCATCATAAGCTTGCCTATGGAGGTGTCACTGCTGATGCCACATTACGGGGGCTTCCTGCCCGAGACTGCAGGCCTTAGGCAGTAATGACGCCAAAAAGATTCTTTGAAATGATAGTTAGTCCTTCCATGACTGGCTCTAACATATTACACATATAGTTGGAATACAGGAGAAAAAATAAATGAGGCATTATAAAGCTCTTTATTTTCTCTCAAGAGATGTCAGTGGTGCTTTAGAAAACTCTACAGCCCTCGCATATGCCAGAGTCCCTTGAAAAGCTTTCAGATACACATGCTTAATACAGACGTTCAGAAGTGCACTGAGGTCAGGAGTTCTGCAAAAATATCCTGAACACGTTAGGAGAAAGAACATTTACTGAATATTTGTTATGAGCCAAATATTTTGTAAATATCATCACATTTTTATGATGATCCCATGAGGCACTATCATTAATTTCATTTTATAGATGAGAAAAGTGAGACTCAAATTGATTAGGAAATCTGCTTAAAGTCCCATTAGTTTGGATCCCTGACTGATTACAAGGGGGCAGCGCCCCTGTCCTCCCTTACTCACCCTATAGCCAATAAGTGACCTACAAATGGCAGAGGAGCCAAACTCATACTTTTGATGCCACAGATCTGTCTTAACAAGTATAGTAAGTGTTCACTTAACGTTGTCTATAGGTTCTACAACTTTAAGTGACATGAGGTATAACAAAAACCCACTTTATCATAGGCTAATTCATGTAAATGAGAATTAAGTTCCTACAGCATCTCATCAACATTACAATGAGACGATGTTGAATGAAACGACATTATTTGAGGACCTGCTGTATACAATACTGCCTGCCATTATTCTAGACTGACTCCTTAGAGAAGGTTTGAATTGCTTCACTATTATTTCTGATATCAAGTCCTTAAATACTTTCTACTTTTGGAATTAACCTTTCTGCTGCAATTGTAACACCAAGGTTATTGGTAGGAGGGAGGTTTCTCAAATCCATGTGTGCTGGCTTTGTTAGCTCTCTTCCTGTTGAGAAGCTTGGTCAGGTTGTGGGAGATTTCTTTCTAGTCTGTTGTGATGTGACAGCACATTCTGCAGAAAGAAATGTCTGAAAAATGACAGAAAACATACTCTGTCACAGAACCAAGTCCACAGTTATGTTGTCGACAAGTTACTTGGTTAGGCTCCACACTCTGGACTCCCTGGTAGGATCTGTGTCTAAAAAAGGGAAGAAAAAGAACCTACCTTTACTTTTCCCCCTTCGTGGCATATCTTATCAAGAATACAATGCGACTTCTCTTGCTTGAAAGGGTCAATAAATGAGTCTGGCCAAAACGGGTTGTAACTTGATATGATTATAAGGATTAGTGCCTTTAATCTCCACTGAGCTGCCAGGTAGGGAGATGTTAAAATTTTCTTTTTTTAAACCCAGACGGGATATTCTTGTTAACTAGACTACTTGTTATATTTGGAAGGCCGCTTGCACCGTGGCAGCTTGTCAACATCTCAAGGTGGGACATCCACTGAAAAGTGTACCTTGACGTGGCAAGTTTGATGAGTTGGTGCAAGAAAAGGAAAGGATACAGTGACTTAAATGTCAGCCTTGTCAATTATTCTAAAGAACAATGAATGTCTGGAAAGGACTTCCCACATTTTTCCCTACTGAATGTGTAGGTACTGATAGATGTTCACAGAACCTATTTTCTTCTACCCAGCTAGGCTACACTGCCCACCATTCCTTGTAGTTGAGAGTGGCCATGTGACTAAGAGAGGATGTGAAAAGTAGTAGTGTGTGCTACTTCCAGGTATGGCTCTTATAAACCTTCCCAATCATCTTCTACACTTTATTTTGCCCCTCTCTGGCTGACAGGATAGAGATAACTGCCAAGTAGACCTGGGAAGGCTTGATAACAGAACCACCGGCATTCTGTGACCCTGAATGACTGTGTGGGGAACATTCTCTCCAGCAGATCAAGGACACACTTTGGACTCTTAGGTAAGCAATACTACACTTCTACTGCGTTTGAGTCAGTACCCATTTGGGGGTCAACTTGTTATCAGAGCCTAGCCTACCCTCATATACTTCCCAACATTGATGCCTCAACTATTTATTTCTGCATTACTAGTCCTGAAAATTGTATCTCCCAAGTAAGTCCTTTGAAAGCTTCCTTTGCTCTTAGGATAAAATCTCAAATTGTACCATAATTTTTGAGACTGTGCTAATATCTTGGCCCTGTCTATTCTCTCCCATCCCCAGCGACATGTCATGATGCTTCCTTCTCTGCTCTGTATGCTCGACCACACCAGCCACAGTCAGTCCTTCAGAGGCAGCATGCTTTTTCTACCTCAGGCCCTTTGCACATCCTACTCCTAGCGACTGAAACACTCCTTCCTCCCTCAACTCTTTATCTCCTACTCAGTTTTCTGAACTCTTCTCAAATAAAGAACAAGTATGGAGGTAGTACAATGGATTGAATCACTTTTTAAGAAAAAGCCTCATCATACTCATTGCTTAATGCTTTTCATGCTTAAGGGTTGGGAAGAATTTGTGAGGCTGCATTTTACAAGTTGAAGCATATGTGTGCCCAAAGCTATTTAATGAAAAACTACTAACAACTCAAACATAGAAGGACATGAGTTACTCTTTGTAAACAATGTAATATTCTTAAAACAGACTATTATATAGCCATTAAAATTATGTCATAAGAGAGCCATAAGAGCCACGAGTAGCAGCAAAGTAAAAGGAGTTCCTGCTGTCGGTTATCATTACAGCTGTCAGTATTTTGATTGGAGACTCAGCACAAGGATGTTTTCTTTGTCCAGTGGGTTCACAGACCAAATGTATATTCGAAAGTAGGCTCTTTCTCACCGACTTTGAATAAATGCCTTATTTAAGAAAAGGCATAATGACAGAGACACAGATTTATTTTAGTTAGTCATGATTTATACAAATGGTTTTATGAATAAAAATAAAGGAATATAATGTACATGGCCAGGCAAAAACTGGACATAACAACCTAGGATCTTACCATATAAGGTTACCAAGAGTCAGCTTCTGGATAAAGTTGGGGAGACAGGGCCCCAGGTAGCAAGAGTTGGCCAAAGCTGGTGTTAGTGTCCTGGGAACCCCATGATAAATACTTCCCCACCTGAATTTTGGGTCTCTTAGTCTCCTTCAAATGCCTAATTCCTTGTTTTACTGCTTTTTGCTCCCATTCTTTTACTGTTACTGATCCCAACTCTGAAGAGGAGATTATTCCACTTCCCTGTGACTTTCTGGTGCCTATACTTCTCTGAGTTTGCAAGGCCAACCTGAGGGCAATGCCTATATCACAACTCCTAGCAGCACTGGCTATTTTCTTTAATGACTCCTACCCCATTCTGATGTAATTAAGCTCCAGGTTCCTGTTTGGCTTACCTCTGCCATCCACTCCTTACCTTTCCATCACCACTGCCCTGAGTTCAGCTCCCCACTACCTCTCCTCTAAACTACCACGATGGCTTCTTAACTGCCATCTGTCCCAGTGTTTCCTTTCTTCAATCCATTTCACTCACTGCTGGCGGCTTACTCTTCTGGAAGTATGGCTCCTTAATGTCACTCTCTTTCTCTGCCTTTGTCTGAACTCTTTGCCAAGCATTCCAGGTCTCTCATGGCACAGTTGCAACCCACCTTACTGAGTTTAAGCCCTTCTACAGCATTTCTGCACTCTGGGCTCCAGCCAGATCAAAGCACACAGTTTGTTCTTTATGGTCTGGAGGCTTACCTACTTGCATGAATTTTCTCACACTTTTGTCTACCTGGAACACCCTTTGCTTCTGTCTTTGCATGTTTGCATCGTAACAGTATGCAAGGCTGAGATAAAAACAACTTCTACCTCATTTGTCCCAGTCAGAATTAATCTTTCCTCCTCTAAACTTCTGTAGCACTTTGCACTTTCAGAGGGACTGAGGTTTATGCCTTTCCTATTAGCCTGGAATCCCTGAGAGCAGAACTTGTATTTATCTTTCGATCCTCCAACCTAGGACAGGAATCCATTGATATCTGAACAAATGAATTAACGCATGAATGAATTTCTCACCTGCAACTTGGCAGTTAATTGTCACATTCACTCCCCGTACTGTTTTGATGGTGCTTCCTACATCAACTGTGATTGAAGGCTCCTTGGTGTTGATTACAGTCATTCGTGATGTTTTCACTAATGGCTTTCCTGAAGATGAAAAGAAATGTAAAATTTTACTAGACAGTGGCTACAGACTTGAAACATTCCCTTGAACAAGGATGATGAACAATGAACAGCTGGTATATCCAGGCTTTTCCCACTAACCAAGTTTTCCTTAGGAAAAAAATTGTAACTGCACAGTATAAAAAATATCTACCCACCCACCCATCTAACTACTATAGTATTGTCAGAAAAAAACAAAAAACAAAAAACAAAAATACCCCCAGACTGTAACAAGCACGGTGTTCAAGTTGGAATGATTTATGCTTTTTATCATTAAATTAACAAATGATCCTATACATTCCATTTTAAGAGCTTATCTTTTTAATTAAGCTTGTTATTTTGAGATAATTGTAGATTCGCATGCAGTTGTAAGAAATAATACAAAGCAACCCTGTGCACTCTCTACCCAGTCTCCCCTAATGGAGACATCTTACAAAACTAGAGTACAATATCATGACCAGGACGGTGACATTGATAAAGTTAAGATAAAGAACATTTCCATTACTACAAGGATGGCTCATGTTGCCCCCAATCTCTCCTGCATCCTTTGGCGACCATTAATACGTTCTCCATTTCTATAATTTTGTTATGTCAAGAATGTTATATAAATAGAATCATACAGTACGTAACATTTTTTTGATAGTTTTTTTTTCTCATTCAGAAGAATTCTCTGGAGATTCTTCTAGTTCTCATATGGTACCATGGTTGTATGTATCAGTAGTTTGTTTCCTTTTATTGCTGAGTAATATTCCATGGTATGGACGTACTGCCAGTTTTTATAGCCATTCACTTGTTAGAAGACACCTGGGTTGTTTACAAATTTTGGCTATTGAAGTAAAGCTGCTAAAAATATTCATGTACAAATTTTTGTGTGAACATAAGTATTCATTTCTCTGGGATAAATGGTCAGGAGTACAATTACTAGGTCATATAGTAGTTGCATGTTTAGTCTTTTAAGAAACTGCTGAACTGTTTTCCAGAGTAGCTGCACCATTTCATAGTCCCACTAGCAATGTATGAGTGATCCAATTTCTCTGCATCCTTGCCAGCATTTGTTGTTGTCATTAGTTTTAATTTTAGACATTCTGATAGGTGTGTAGTGATATCTCATTGTGTTTTTAATTTGCAATTCCCTAATGGCTGATGATATTGAATATCTTTTTATGTGCTCATTTTCCATCTTTACATCTTTGGTGAAATGACTCTATATGCTTTGGTCATTTTCTAATTGGACTGTTTATTTTTTTTTACTGTTGAGTTTTTAGAGTTCTTTATATTATAGATACTAGTACTTTGTTAGATATGAGGTTTGCAAAGATTTTCTCCCAGCCTGTGGCTTTTCTTTTCATCTTAACAAGATCTTTCATAGGGCAAAAGCTTTTCACTTTGATGAAGTCCAATATATCAAGTTTTTCTTTCATGGATCATGTTTTTGTCTAAAAAATTTTTGTCTAAAGAATGTGTTTAAGTCTAAGAACTATTCACCTAGATCTAGATGCTAAAGATTTTTTAAAAGTTTCATAGTTTTACATTTTACATTAAGTCTATGATACATTTTGAGTTAATTTTTGTATAAAGTATAATACTTAGGTCAGTGTTTTTTGCCTATGAATGTCCAATTGTTCCATCATCATTTATTTTGAAAAAGTTAATCATTTATTAATTAGGAAATAAATATACAGTTCCAGGTCCAGTATTAGTCATTGATCTAGTTTGATCAACTCAGTGAGGAAATAGGTTTTTATCAGGCTAAACTATTCTTGAAAACTATTGTGTTTAAAAATCGGAGAACATCTCAATTCTAATTCTAGATTTATATCACTGATTGTGATATTCAGGTTTTTTTTTGCATATTTTTTTTGCAGTTTTTTTTTATTAGTTTCAAGTATACAGTACATTGATTAGACATTTATATAGTTTACGAAAAATACCTGATTACTCTATCTTACCTCTGGCTCTCTACACATAGCCATTACATTGCTGCTGACTTCATTCCCTATGCTATGCTCCTCATTCCCATGACCATCTGTCAACTACTAATCTATACTTTAACTCTTTACAGCTTTCTCCCAGTACCCCAGCAGCCCAACACCACTTCCCTCTGGCCTACGTTTTCTTCTAAGAGTTTTATGCTTATGGGTCTTACATTTAAGTCTTTAATCCATTTCGAGTCTATTCTTATATATGGTATAAGAAGCGGTCCAGTTTCATTTTTTTTGCATGTATCTGTCTAATTTTCCCAACACCACTTATTGAAGAGACTGTCTTTACCCCATTGTATATTCTTGCCTCCTTTATCATATAATAAATAAGTGTATAGATGTGGATTTATTTTTGGGCTCTCTATTCTGTTCCATTGATCAATGTATCTATTTTTAAGCCAGTACCATGCTGTCTTAATTACTACAGCCTTGTGGTATAGTTTGATACCAGGAAGCGTGATATCTCCAACTTTGTTCTTCTCTCTCAAGATTTCTGTGGCTATTCAAGATCTTTTATTGTTCCATATAAATTTTAGCGTTATTTGTTCTAGTTCTTTGAAAAATGCTATTGGTATTTTGATAGGGATTGCATTAAATATATAGATTGCTTTGGGTAGTATGGCCATTTTAATGATGCTGATTCTTCCTACCCATGAGCACGGTATATGCTTCTATTTATTTGTATCTTCTTCAATTTCTTCTTTCAATGACTTATAATTTTCTGAGAATAAGTCTTTTACCTCCCTGTAATTTCATTCTTAAGCATTTTATTGTTTTTGATGCAATTGTAAATGGGATTGTTTTAATTTCTCTTTCTGAAAGTTCATTATTAGTGTATAAAAATGTAACTGACTTCTGAATATTAATTTTGTATCCTGCTACTTTACTGAATTCATTGATCAGTTCTAAGTTTTTCTGTGTGTAGTGTTTAGGTTTCTCTCTATATAGCATCATGTCATCTACAAATAATGAGTTTTACTCTTTTTCTAATTTGGATACCTTTTATTTCTTTCTTGTCTGATTGTTGTGGCTGGGACTTTCAATACAATGTTGGATAGAAGTGGTGACAGTGGGCATCCTTGTCTTGTTCCTGATCTCAAGGAAAATGCTTTTAGCCTTGCTGCACTGAGTATGATGTTAGGTTTGTCATATATGGCTTTTATTATGTTGAGGTATGTTCCCTCTGCCACCTCTATCACCATTTATTGAACAAGCCTTTCTTCTATTGAATTGCTTTTTAATCTTTGTCAAAATCAGTTGGGCATATTATTGTGGATCTATTTCTGGGTTCCCTTTTCTGTTCCATTGATCTATGTGTGACTCTCTATCAATGCCACACAGTCTCAGTTATTGCAGGTATATAATTCATCTTGAAATTGGATAGGCTGGTTCTTTGCATGTAATTTTTTTGTTATTCTACTTCTTTTCTTTTCCAAATGAATTTTAAAATAATCTTGTCTACAACTATAAAATCTTGCTAGTATTTGATGGGAATGACATTAAATTTGTAAATCAACTTGAGAAGAAGTGACATCTTTACTGTGTTGAGTCTTCCAATCCATGAACACTATTTAGAATCTTTTAATTTCTTTCATCAGAGGTTTGTAGTTACCAACATACAACTCCTGTATATATTTTGTTAGATTTATACCTATTTTGTATTTTGGGGGGATGGTAAATGATATTGTATTTTCAATTTCAGTGTTTCAATTTCATGTGTTGTTAATAGAAAGAGTTAAAAAAATTTATAACCTATGATCTCGCTAAACTCACATATTAGTTCTAGGATTTCTTTTTTGGTAGATTTCTTGTTTTCTAAGTAGGCAATCATTTCATTTGTAAATTGTTTTATTTCTTCCTTTCTGATCTGTATGCCTTTTTTTTTCTTGCATTATTTCACTGGATAGAATTTCTAGCACTATGTTGAATAAGAGTGGTGAAAGTGAGATTTTGGTATGATGAATGATTTTCAGTTGAAATCTGGACATTTTCACATTATGTTATACAACACTGGATCTTATTTAAACCTTCAGTTTTAGCTGGCTTTCTCTGAAACCATTTAAGCAGGGAAACAGGGAGATGCCATCTTGTTACTATCCAATAAAAGTAGAAGTCCAGGTTCTCCAAGTGGCCTCCTTTGTCACCTAAGTGGGGAGCTCTTCATTATTGCTGGCAGGGGTCGGACTTCCGGCTCCCCACATGGTCTCCACTGACACCACCATGAGAGGGGCCTTATTACTTCTGGGCGGTGAGTGAAAGTCCTGCCTCTCCAGGAGCCCTTCTCTATCAACATCCCAGAGGAGAGGGTAAGGAGGGCACTGTAGGGTGAGGGTGGAAATCCAGGCTCCCTGTGTGGTCTTCACATTACGCCATGATAAGGATAAAATCTGTCTTGTCTGATGTGGTACCCTTGGGGATATTGGGAAACTTATTTCAGTCTGACAAGATGGAGTCTAGCCTCCCTGCTGGTGTGGGTGGCAGTGGATCAGAGTGTTTTCTGTGGTGTTTGGAGTAGAGCAGTATTTTCCAAATGTTTTCTGTCTTGCTAGGCTGTCTCTTTCCTGGCTCTCTCACTAGAGAGAGAGAAGACTTTAGTTGGGGCCATTTTTTCAGTTCCAAGTTTGAGATTTAGGAGGCAAAAATAAAACCCAAGGAAATCATAATTGTGTTTTTTCTTGGTTCCTAAGGTCCCTAGCTAGTCTGCTTTCTCCTTTCCACTTTTCGATCTTCTTATGTTTGTTTTATGTATAATGTCCATGAATCTTAGTTGTATTTAGCAGGAGGAATAGGGAAAAGTATGTCTATGCTATCTTCCTGGAAATAGAAATTCTATGTATATTACATTTTAATAGGCCTTCATTAGCTGGGGATAAAAATCCAGCACTTTGTGTACATGACCACAAAATACAATGACAAATTCATTTATTGAGTACCTTGGGGAACTAAGCATCCACATGAAATCATTTTCGAATACCGAAAGCTAATTTTTTATAACTCAAATGG